TCCAAAGAAGAATTCACAAACACTTTTTCATGGGGCATTACCTAACAATAAACGTCTGCCCTTGAAACAATTTCTTGAACTAAAGAAAAAAAGGGAGGACATTGTTCACTGACGACATCCTCTGTACTTTTTAGAAATAATTTCGGTGAGGCATACATTCGATTTCTTTAACTTGTTCTGAAATCAATCTGCTCTAAAGAATATTTTTCTTTCAAATATAATTATACATCACTTTCCTGTAAAGAGACATTGTGCTCAATTTTCTAAAGCTAGAATTAGTATGAAATGTTGATAGAATTGGATATATAGTATAGTATATCATATAATGCTAGTTTTTTTTAAATGTGGTGGCACAATTGCCAATAACAAAATACAAAACAAGACAGTATCTCATTACAAACGTGTAAGGGGAAAATAACTACATACACACAAATATATTTCAGCATTATTTTGTATTGTTGATTTTCCCAGCATAAGCAACACAAACAACAACAGCAACAACAACAAAAACTATGGACAATAGGTGCAGTACCGTGTTTGGTTGTATGGTTTCCATAAACTTAGTTTCCTGATCCCCATCTCTGCTCTCCCCAACCGGTGTTGTCACTCAGTCAAGCTCAAATGATCTAATTTCCAAAATTCACCAATCTCCCATAACATGTATTGTTGTTCTCCCCATCCCTTAAAGATCCTGGTTCCCACCATGTATCCCCCCTTTGCACCTCCCACTCTCCCTTTTATTTTCCTAATCAGGACAGATGGGAAGCAAGGATTGGGGCTCTTTAGCACTATGTGTAGTTTAGTTTTAAATTTAAAAGGACACTAGTCACTAGCTTAGTTGTTCTGGTGAGTATAATAGCTCCCTTCAGGCTTTTTTCATGTAAACACTGTCTTTTCAGAGAAAAGGCAGTGTTTACATTGCCCCTAGGGACACCTCCAAGTTGGCACTCCTTAGATGGCCACTAGAGGGGCTTCCTGGCTCAGTGCTGCACAGTAAGCAGCCTTGCCATTCAGCGTTCCCACGCTCTGCATGGAGACATTGGATATTCCTCATAGAGATGCATTGATTCAGGAGGTCCTGATTGGCCAAAGCAGCATTTGGCCCCACCCCAGTGCCAATTTTAACCAATCCAATGCTTTTCACTATGGCCATTTTGATGATGTCACAAAGGGGGTGGAGCAAGCGCCGGCAGACTCGCGCAGCGCTGGAAAAAAGGTGAGTTGTAAACTTTTATAGGGGGTTAAGGGAGGGCAAGCCACCTAAATGGTGGGTTTAGCACTATAGGGTCAGGAATACATGTTTGTGTTCCTGACCCTATAGTGATTCTTTAATTGCAGACTAGTAACAATAAAACACTAATCATATGACTAGGGCTCAAAATTTCATTAAACAGGTCTAAACTTTACTCTCAATTGTAAGATATCCATGGCACACTCACCACGGGTCAATTTCTACTTGCCACGGATACATTTTTACTCATCAGTGTCTAACGGCAAGTGGAAATTTTGAGCCTTGTTATGAGAGCAGTATTTTGTTTTTGAAATTGTTTTTTACATTGAAATTTGCAAACTAATAAATGTTACAGTAACATCTAGCAATCCAGACGCAGAGTTAGGTTGACTAATGCTGACATTGGTGGGACCTGCATTAGACTGATAAAAGTGTATGTAAAAAAACAAAAACAAAATAGTAAAACAGATAAAACTTTGAAATTTAATAAAAAAAAGTACAACAAGTATTTTTGCGATGTCTATGCCCCTTTAAGACATGTATTGCAATGGAAAGATGTGCTAATTCACACAGCAGTGAAAAAAGTTAAGCAGCTACTAAATACTTTACCCAGATGCACCGTATAGCTGCGTTAACACAGATCTGTTACTAGGAAGGAAACAGTATATTAATATGGAAAAAGGCTGAGCTTTAGGTCACTTGCCAGCTGTATACAGTGCTCCTGCCTCACCCAGTAGCAAAAGGTTTATCAAATGATATATATAAATAACAGGGCTTGAAGTATGACTAATGGAAATACGATTATCATGATAGGAAGGCTGGTACATACTCTTTGTTCCATTTGTTTTGTTTCCACAGTTTAAATTTTGGCTCTTAATTTCTCTATTAAATCTTTAAATCTTTCCATCCCCAGACTGGAGTTGCCCCACTTCGTAATTAAAAATATATGTAAAAGCAATGATTTATAAATAAAAGGTTCCGGCATTTGCTGTACGTTCTCATCAAACCAGGAAGTGAATCAGCTAACCATTTAAACAGGTACATTCATTGCACTCTTCCTTAAAGGGGACCGGACACCCTCCAAACCAGTATGTAGCAAAAAAAAAGATAAGAGTGTGTCTGAACCCACACCTCTAGATATAAAGTATACAAACAATTAACTTATCGCTATAATATAACAGCTTCCTCTCGGGATATTCCAGACCTTATCCCGTACAAGTAGAGTGTGTTTATATGGATAGCAGAGGAGTAGAGCTGATAATCTACAGAAAGAAAAACAGTACAATAGTGTAATACTGTAAATAAACAATAAAACTGCACCAATATGAATTGAACTCACAAGATGTAGATAGTAAGATCACCTCAGGGTGCCTCCCCTTAGATGTTTGGAGGGTATATCCAGAACTCCCTCTCAGCTGGTTGGTGGTGTCGCCACAATATGGAAGTCCATATTATTAAAAAAAACAAATCTGGTCCTATGCGTTTTGACTTCCTCAGGGACCCAGTAATAAAAATGAATTTGTAAATATATAATATACTAACAAAATAGCAGCATAACCCTTATCTCCCCAGTCCTTCCTTATATATGGCTGTCATCTCTTCCCATTGGTGGTCCAGGGGGAGTCTTCCACACTGTCCAGCTGTTTCAGAGGATTTTTTAGTTGATTTTTCGCTGGTGCTGTACCTGTATGATGTCACTTCCACTATGTCCCTTCCGTATTTCACTTCTGTGTAACGCATGCGTTCCAAATGGCGGCCATTATGCGTTCCACCTTCGGTAATGTTTTTTACCAGTCATATGTTGATATAAACGTGATTGAGTCCTTAGTAAGTCGTAAGGAAGCATGCAAGGCTCAAAATCAATGCATATAAATATACATCCAGCACACTTAGTATCAAAACATAATATATCGAAATAGGTATGAAACAGAAACCAGAAAAAAGGCAAAAAGACAGGCAACTATGTGGCAGCACCAACCATGTATGAAAAAGATACAACACTGACCACTTTAAAATCAAAAGAGCGATATCGAAAGTGAAATACAGAAGTGACATAGCGGAAGTGATGTCGTACGGGTACAGTACCCGCGAAAATCAACTGGGGAATCCTCTGAAACAGCTGGACAGTATGGAAGACGCCCCCTGGATCACCTATAGGAAGAAATGACAGCCAAATTTAAGGAAGGACTGGGGAGAGAAGGGTTATGCTGCTATTTTGTTAGGATATTTTATATGTACAAATTTGTTTTTTTATTACTGGGTCCCTGAGGAAGTCTTATGTAACACAAAACGCATAGGACCAGATTTGTTTTTTTATACTTATATAAAAAAAGCTGATTGTTTTTTACCATTTCCTGAATCTGGACTTCCATATTGTGGCGACACCACCAACCAGCTGAAAGGGAGTTCTGGATATACCCCCCAAACATTTAAGGGGGGGCACTCTAAGGCGATCTTACTATCTACATCTTGTGAGTTCAATTGATATTGGCGCAGTTTTATTGCTTATTTACAGTATTACACTATTGTACTGTTTTTCTTTCTGCAGATTATAAGCTATAGTCCTCTGCTATCCATATACAAACTTTCCAAACCACTCATGCTCTTTGGAAAAAGCATGACATTTTGTCTATACATTGTGATAGCAGTTATGCTAGCAAATGTATAGATTAGGAGAAAAACATATTTAAAAATAGGTCTTTCTCCCACTTCCCAATCAAATCTTTGACTCTACAACGGGGTAATGTACATGGGAACATAGCAACCACCATCGGCCTAACTACCAACGGTGCACACACGCAATAAGAGTCACTGAGTGGCCCATGCACTTAGGGCTCGACAGCACAACTGGGCCCCTCACTGCAGCGCTGTGAGTGAGAACCAGTCACTTCCTCCCAGCTACAGACACTAAGACACATGGGAGAGAGGAGAAAGCTGGAAGGAGGGGAGGCGAGGACCAGGAGAGGCAGCCCCTAATTACCAACAGCCTCAGTCAGCAGACTGGACTCCAAGGAAACCACCCTCCTGCATCCAAAAAGCTTGAAACTAGAGGGTGGCTAAAAATGTGTACATTTTGAACAGCATGTGTGTCAGTGTGTGTATCTGAATGTCTGTATCTGCATGTGTGTGTATCTAAAATTTCAGTTTTCAAAGAGGTGGCCAAACTTGCTGATGAGAGATTATTCAAAAGTGGAAAAAACATTCAAGACAGTTGCCAATCTTCCCAGGAGTGGCAATCCCAGCAATTTCACCCCACCGTCAGACCGTGCAATGCTCAGAGAAATTGCAAATACCCCAAGAGTTACATCTCAGACTCTACAGCCTCAGTTAGTATGTTAAATTGTAAATATGTAAAGTTCCTGACAGTACAATCAGAAATAAACTGAACAAGTATGGTTTGTTTGGAAGGGTTGCCATGAGGAAGACTCTTTTAAAGTGTTTTAGGTAATGTGGAGTGTTCCTTTTAATAGACTGCTCTAAATAATCAACTTTACACAGGCTTAAATATTCTTTATTTATATTTGTACTATTTATTAAATCTTGACTTGTATTTTCTACAAGGAGGGGTCATTACATTTAAGAATCATTTATTCTCTTTTTTTATTTTAGTCAAAACTAAGATTATTCTATGTATAAATATTTTTCTATGCAGTTAAAAAATATATATATATAGATATATTTATATCAGATATAAAGTGTCTAATCGCTGGTCTGTGGTGTGTTTGTGGAATTGATTCATGCTCTGCAGACCCAAATTCATAATTTCAGGGCAAGAATTTAAGAACTTAACTTTAAACAAACTTGACAATAGGCGCATCTTAACATACTTAGCTAGGAGGAATCAAATAAATAACTGCAGGTATTGCTAAGTCTCCTTTTTGCAACTGGGAAAAGACTATACTATCACAGAAGATTATCCATCCCTCTCCAGAGTTTATTCAAAGCATTTAGTGAATTTTCATCTTTATTTTTTTTTTTTTTTCTTTTCGAACTATTTCACACTTGGATATGCTCTGACCCGCTTCAGATATCATATAAGCAGACGTTCCTCCGCTGCATCAGTAATATCAGTTTTGTCCGACTTCCATTGGCTGAAAAATGTCTGACGCGCTTAGACAAATGCCTTCCAAAGATGGGTAGAATTGATTTTGCCTATAGGGAAATGTAAACTTATCTCAAATCTGGGAAGAAGTCCAGAGAAAGCAAAAAAAGTTCTAATCCGGTTGTCTCTCAACAGTGAGATGGCACTAGGGTACTCCTGGCACAGTGATTCTTACAGTGGGCTCTAGTGGTTGTGGTGTTTACAGTGACTTTTTGTTGGCAAGACCTCCATGGTATCTGTAGTGCTACGGCAGCTGGGGATTCATCATCGTTTAGCAGTATCCATTTGGGATTTGGGTTAAACAGGGAGGACTATATTAAACTTGCCATTGAAGATATGAAACAGTTGACCATCCAGAACTGTTAGGTGATAGGCTTACTTCATCCCATTATGCAGGGAAGAGGAAATGCCGAGTTTGGGTTGTCTGATAATGCAGAATATCCGTGGTACTCCTAGAAGACTACAGTATTTTATTTTATATTTAAAAAACAAAAAAGAAGTAAAAAATGACAAATAAATTAAAACTGTATAAACTATTGCACATCCCACATGCTCCAGGATAGTAGTACTGACACACGGTCTAAACATCTGTTAGCTAGCACAATGTTCTAATCAAATTGCACCATCTAGATTCTAGAACAAGTGATCATGTGACGTCCAAGTCATGAGCCATACTAATACAGAGAGTGCACGGGTAGGGTTAATGAGTATCTAGAATATCCTCATACATATTTGATTTTAGACATGAACACTCTATTGCAATTGGAAAAAAAGAATACAATGTGTATTACTAAGTGTTTTCAGCCCACTGTGGTGGAAAATAGCACAAATGAAGTTGAAGTAATCTAGTACAGGTTTTGGCTTGTATTTGGGATTATTTTATATTAGGAGCTAAGCTAACAAGCCAGACATTAAAATTTAAAAACAGCTTTCCGCATCCGCCAGACACCATGAATCATGAAATCAGGTTTCTATTTTGACGCTTCAGAAAATCTTTCGCAGTATTTATGTGTAAAATGTATTTTCTAGCAGGGTACCTCATGGAGAAGTAGTATTAAAAATCATTGTACAATGTTGACTGAGACAATTTTGTCACTTTGAAATAGTTATTTTTTTCATTTTTCTGCTCTAAGTGAATTTTTTTTTTTTTAACAAGGATACTTCTTGTTTCTAAATGTTGTGTAGATGAGTATTTAGAGACTTGAATACAATTATTAGCTGGATTTAAACATTAATATCTAAAGTGTCACTGGGGCATTCCAAGTCATATGGCCACTTATCTTCATGAGTAGATCATGGTGAAGTTTAGCTCTCCTTCATCTATTCAGCAGCTACAACTCAGCCCCTTCCTTTGTGATTTGTTGAAAAGCCACATTACTTTTTATTGAATTTATATTATTTGTGCAGGTTCCTTTTAATGTCTTAACTCAATGTTCAGCTACATCCTGGATTTCCACTTTAAGAGCTGAAGATGCATCATGAATGAAACTAAAAGGAAGGCGCCAACTGCGATTCGAAATAATTAGTCATAGCATCAATTTGCAAGTTCATTACAAAATGGAACAGTTAAATTATTGGAGCAGACTGAACGCCTAAGAAGGAACAGTAGCAAATTTATTATTAAATAATTCCAGTGTAAAAACTACCAATACCTTTACAAATATCAGATTGCAGTACGAAATGCACATAATAAAAAAAAAAAAGGTACAAAAAGTACTGTATTTGAATGATCAGACTGTTAGTGTTAACTTGAAAGTCATTAGTCAAACATTTCCAAATGCTCTTTGTGCTGTATAATATTGAAAGACATTCTACGGCAGCTTTGCTGTTGGAACTTGCAACTCTCATCTCAATCAAATGTCCAGAACTGGTTGAGAATGGTAGCTGAAGAACGCGATGATGTCCATGTTTCATGTCTTTGTATAATGACCAGTAATTAAAAGTGTAGATACTCCAGGTCACAAAGACATACTCTCAGTCACAGGTTGGGACTGTTATGTAAAAATGTAACAGCACAGTAAAAGGAAAAATAATAATAATAATAAAAAAAAAGATGATGTGTGTAGTTTGAGGTTTGTATTGCTAAGTGCACATCTCCAGGTCTGTGTTCACTAGTAAAATACTATAGAACAAGAGCATTAAAAAAGGTACAAAACAGATCACAGAGCTTGGGGAAAACCAAGTCTGACTTCTCATGAACTTTGCATTAGGTTCATCATTTCCTTTTCTTTGTTGGAGATCGGGTGACCCAAGTTGTCGGGCTGTCCAACGTTTTGATGAGATAATCTTTCAGAATTTGGGGATGTTTCTGTAAAGTCCTTCAGGGGATACAAGCTGTATGAAAAAGAAAAATGTTGTTTAAAAAGTAAAAAATACTTTCAAAGACTGGACACATATTCTAGTACATGCATGTAAATCAACATTTCCAAGACTCCAACTTATAAAACCTCTATTTCATGAATGAACAGTATAATAATATCAGGAAGTATTACTTTACTGAGAGGGCAGTGGATGCATGGAATAGCCTTCCAGCTGAAGTGGTAGAGGTTAACACAGTAAAGGAGTTTAAGCATGCGTGGGATAGGCATAAGGCTATCCTAACTATAAAATAAGGCCAGGGACTAATGAAAGATTTAGAAAATTGGGCAGACTAGATGGACCGAATGGTTCTTATCTGCCGCCACATTCTATGTTTCTAGTATACGAGTATACATAGAATGGCAGGTCTGAGAGCTTGCCAGGGCAACAAAGTTAAGCTGACAAGTAACATAACCTTGCCTCCAGTTTAAGGAGTATAGAAAAAATGTGGCCAATTTATTATTGCTTTTATTATTTCTAATTGTTTCAGAAAGGTTAGATATTTTTATCACTTGTTACTACTTTATTCCAACACTTTCTGCAATACTTTCTAAAGCACCCACACATTAACCCCAAAAAGCCATACAGCCAGGGCTGGATTTACCCATACACGCAAAAAAATCAATAGGATGCATTAATAAGACTTGCTGGGAGAGGGTGTGTGTGTGTGTATGTATATGTCTGCTTGATGTGTTGCATTTCTGAGGGTAGGCTACTTGCATTGTTGCTGGTTTCCAGAGAAGCTGCTTGTGGGGTTGTGTGCATATTGTGGGTTGCTGTTTGTGAGGCTGTGTATGTGGCAGTGTTAATTTTGGTGGCAAATCTTAATTTAGTTTTAGTCATAGTCTTGACTAAAATGCCATTTTAGTTTTAGTCGTATTGTTATTATTTTAATTGTTTTAGTTTTGGTCGACTAAATCTCAAAAGTGTAGTCGACTAAAATTGTTAGTGGACAAAATTAACACTGGTATGTGGGGGGAGGCTGCTTGTGTGGTTGCGGGTGTGGAGGGAATAATGCTTGTAGGGTTGCATGCGTGGGAGGGAGGCGGTTCTGGGGTTGTGTCTTTAGGTGTGCAAACCAGAAGAAAAAGTATTGTTTTAAGGAAAAACTGTCACTTCCCAGGTCTTGTATTAATATTTATATTTACAAATACCTACATTTAACAGGTATATGTTATTTGTAAGGTATGAAAAATATAATTAAATGTAGAAATTTGCACCTCTTCATCTTGCAACTTGGTGGCCCAAATTGTGATCTGTGTCTTTGCACCTGTCAGTCAGCATAGAGAAAATATAAAAAGAAAGAGGAGAAATGAAACAACATTTCTATTTCTCCTCTTCACTTGCAGCATTTGCCCTGGCCTTTTCTGCTCTGAACTGGATTGTATAATTTGCTAAATCTTTTTTAATATAAAGAACACGAGTTATAAGTGATTTTCAGTGCTTTATTCAATAGTGTGAGGTTTTGGAAAGCAACCCTTCCCTTCCCTCCCCACAAAAAAACAGCAGTGAGTGGCACAGATTTCCTACCTTTCCTCAATCATGTTGTGCACACTCCCAGACAAGCTGTTTCCTTTCCTACTTCCTAGCTTATTGTTACAGTCTGCTGGCTGCATGGGAACTTCTAACAATGTTTGGGTGGTTATTTCTCCTTTGTTGTCCTCTCTTCCTTTTACAGGAACGTTCCCATGGTCTTGTTCAATTTTTGGTGACAGGTCCGAGGTACTTCTGATGTCCACGGTGGAATTCTGACCCAGAAAATCGTGACTTGTGATTGCCACTGCGGATATTCCATGATTGGCTTTAGCTCCTGTACTAGTTCCCATTGACTTGGAAATAACTTTGAGTTTGTGGGAGCTGGACTTGGGGTGTCTCCTCTTGTGCTTTTCTTTTGCATTGTGCTTGAGAAAGAACTCACAGGACTCCTGAAGGACCCTCCGACTCTCACTCACTGGACTAGAAAACAAAAAAACAGAAAGCTTGACACAGAACACACATTCAATTAGAACTTATTAAAACACAGGCAAACTATTCTGTGTTGTTTTCCTAATAATATTGGCTTTTTTCCCCCAAGAGCATCACCTACACACACACAAAAAAAAAAACTTTTTAAATAATAATTTTTTTCGATAATTTGGTTGCACTTTTCATATAGTAATAAGTAAGTAAGAAAAACAAAAATTAAGCACAGATTAAAGAGACAGATATCTTACAAAGCCTGAATGATTTGATTTTAGGAGACTGCCATATTGAAATTGTCACTCCATTATTATCTAGTATTGTAGAGCTCCAACATTTATACAAACAAATTAATGTAAAGAGAAAGAAGAAGAAAAAGAGGGTCCTGCTGAAGCAAGTAAACCATCCTCCTAATGCTCCAATCAAAGGCAATAAGTAAGCGATGAACTAAATCAGGCAATCAGGGATCTCCCACAAAGACCTGTGTGTACAGCAAGGAGTATGTCAGCAGGTGATGTGTGAGAGATGCCCATTCCAGCACATGCATACATAAATGGCCCCATGAAGCCACGTGTGCATGTGTGTGCCACATTTAAATTTTTACCTAAAGAAAATACTGGGCGAGCACAATAATGCTAGAAGTGCTTGCACTGACATCTTGTAATGCTCTGTTTTCACTTAAAATTCATAGTAACAGTTTTGCAAGTGACATAACAACCCAGTGTTAGTCCCGGCACAGTCAGAGCACAAAATGCAAATGAGAACGAGAACAGAAAAGTGTCCTGCCCTAAATAGTGGTGCAAAAATGGAATGTGCCTGCTGGTTTGTTTGATTTCCATGCCAACTGCCCCACTTTTAGCACTTTAAACCACTTTTTAAAATATAACATATTGATAATTTACTCCCATTTTTTTGAATTTCTCATCTTCCATTAAATTGGAACTGTCACCGTCTGGGGACTTTGCATAATTTGCAAAGACCCCCTGACAGTGACATCGCCACTAGGAGTCCTGTGGCCAGGGGGCAGGCTAAGGTGACTTTTACTTAGATGAACCTGTCCTTCGCGGGTGCCACCATAATTTTCCTGATGGTCTTTTTTGTGGATCAGAAATGTTGATCTTTGTTATATTCAGAGGAAGCCCAAATTGTTGTTACAAGTGCACTTGGAGAAGCGAGAATTAGACACCAGACACCTGTTGGTATTCAAAATAAGCCTCTGACGTTTTATTCATCAGCTGGGTTTTATACGTTAAAAAGTAAGTGCTTACGTGCAAATACTGTTAGAACAGTAATAGGAAGAGAGTACAGATAAGACATAGGGATGAGCGTCATGTACACATAACAAATAAGTTCCAAGGTAAGAAAGAGCAAAACGATTAGAGAAGAGACATCTTAGGTGGGGGCTCTCTGCTCCCGGAACTAGACATATATGGTCTTAAGTGTTGTTTAAGCATCAAGCATTTCCTGAGTCCAAGTTAGCCAATTTTAATATAGGATATCATTATATGACACCTATAAGCTTGAGCCTTGGAATCAAGATAAATTCTATCACATCTTCTTCTGCTCCTGGTGCTTCAGCGACATGCCAATATCACTGCTGTATGCTTGAGAGTACAGCATTGAGATCTATGGAGGATCCCACGAGACCATAGGATCCTCCATGGATAGAAACAATTCCCTGCAGCCATCACTGGTGAGGGCTGGGGGATTGACACTTCTAGACAGCCTAGTGTGAAGAAATGAAATTCAAAAACAGTCAATAGGGGGTGTCAGTGGGCATGACAGTGGGGGTGACAGTTGTACTATTGGACATAGTTAAAGCAGCAAAGAGCCACATTTAAAATGATGATTCCAAGATGGAAGAGTCCATGTACATTTAAATTACACATTTTCAGACCTCACAATATATTTGGTTAATAGAGGGGAGAAGTGACCCTTTCTCTTTAAGCAAAGTAAGCAATCTTACGTTAGGCTTTCATGTGCATGGAGGCTGTCCAGGTGTTGGCCTGCTCCTGCATGTAACTCATTACAAAGACAATAAACTTTCCAAGCTCCGAGCAAAACACATATTAATTACTTTTTTCTTTTTTTTTTTTGTTTAAACCTGCCTTGATTTCTATATTGAAAATAAAGTATCAAGCTTCAGTACGTTGAATGCAGACTTTCTATAAAATACAGTTACTGAGAATTTGATTACCAATCGAGAATAAATAAGTACTGTCATTTGGAGAGTGTCCTGCAATACAATGAACAAAATGAAAAATTGGTAACATTTAATTCCTTAACAATCCAAGGGCTGGGATAGAACTTTCAGCTCAAATTAAAAATACAGCTCAAATTGCAAGGGAATACAAACTGCTCACTGAAACGTGTTAGATGTACAAATATTGCACAGCGTGAATTTTTTTTTTCATGTTAACAAGTGGGCAATAAAACTCCTGAAATATCATTTGGAAATTCACTTTCTTTATGAATTCCTATAAATTCCAGCCTCAGAGGCACAATGCAACACAAATAACGTGAGAGTTTTATAAAACCCTCCTGGTATTTGGATAAAGTATAAAAGCACAAAGCAAATAAAAAGTTAAAAAAGCAAACGTGATGTCCAATGACCATAAAATCCCGCTACCACGCAGGCCTGGGCTACATTTATGTATGAAGAAGCAGCAGCTGCTAATCCTTTGCTCGGCCAATGTCAACAGGACCCAGATGTGCCTACAAAGCCACATATATTACCACCCACATGTAACGCTACCATGAACCAGACACAAACAAGATGTGGTGGCTTTTTGTTACTGGTTACTGTAACATTCCGTCACGATTTGCAGAGACGCAAATGAGAGATGTTGAAGGATACGTTGGAAGTTATACAAGAATCACACAGAGCCAAATTAAAACTTAGAGTCTGCACCACACACACATTTACTGTTAGCTCAATAGGATAAGCACAGCTAAACAAACTGGCACAGAATCAGAATAAATTACATTTATTTTTTTGCATTTAATGGAGACATGGGTCTTCTCTAACTTATACTTTTGAAATAAGCAGGCTGCAGTAAAACGCCAGCATTACAAAATTCATAATGAAAATAACACAACAAAATTAATTAGTACCTGAAATACAGGCACAGACTGGAGAAAAAATTGGTGAGTTAAAATGTCCAAATAACACTAAAGAAATATTCTGCTGCATTATTTTTCAAAATTTACACTTTTGTTTAACGATTTTCGGTTCACGAACAGTAATTAAATTTGCAATGCAACCTGCCACGTTAAAACAAACAAACAAAACAGTAACTTTAAAATAGTATTGTGATCCTTCAAAAAACAAACAAAAAAAATCAAAAACAAAAAACAGATTCAATTCAGGTCTTTCCAAAATCACAACAAATAACCAAATCTGTTAAAGGGACACTATAGTCACCTGAACAACTTCAGCTTAATAAAGCAGTTTTGGTGTATAGAACATGCCCCTGCAGCCTCACTGCTCAATCCTCTGCCATTTAGGAGTTAAATCCCTTTGTTTATTAACCCTAGTCACACCTCCCTGCATGTGACTTGCACAGCCTTCCATAAACACTTCCTGTAAAGAGAGCCCTATTTAGGCTTTCTTTATTGCAAGTTCTTTTTAATTAAGATTTTCTTATCCCCTGCTATGTGAATAGCTTGCTAGACCCTGCAAGAGCCTCCTATATGTGATTAAAGTTCAATTTAGAGATTGAGATACAATTATTTAAGGTAAATTACATCTGTTTGAAAGTGAAACCAGTTTTTTTTTTCATGCAGGCTCTGTCAATCATAGCCAGGGGAGGTGTGGCTAGGGCTGCATAAACAGAAACAAAGTGATTTAACTGCTAAATGGCAGTGAATTGAGCAGTGAAATTGCAGGGGAATGATCTATACACTAAAAATGCTTTATTTAGCTAAAGTAATTTAGGTGACTATAGTGTTCCTTTAAGGTATTTTTCTTTAGCTGTACATGTTATTCGAATGCATCTAGACAACGCTGTGACATAATATAGCTTTTTTTCCTCTCTTTCTTGCATTTTCTAAAATTTATATTATGAAAAGGAAGCCCTGTCCTTTAAAAACAATAAATAACATGTATGGGAGCATTGTAAGTGAAAGTGTGACTTTATGATTTAGGAATATAGAGCAAAAATGCCAAATTTCCTATAGTCTTTCAGAGGAAAATAGCTTTGGTCATATCTGATCTGTGAGTTGCTAAATAAAATTGCATTGCAGGATAACTAAGAAATATAAAATAAAAAAAAAATATATTGGTAAATTGTATTTTTTAAACATTTAATTTATCTATTTAAAAAAAGCATTAAAAAAAATTACTTACTCTTGTTTTTTACTGCGGTGGAAGAAATTGGACCACTCTGAGCAGGTTTTCTTGCTTCCTACCCAGAAGATAGCAGAGATCCCAACAATCAAAGTCATCACATATTTAGTAAGAAACAAGGCAAAGTTGGGTCTGGACAAATTTTTTAGCTATGGTAGAGAGAAATAAATAGATAAATAAATAAAAAATATTTGCAATCCAACAACTACAATTCCAACAGCTGGATAAATAAGTTTTTTTGTAAATGTAAGCATACCCACAGAGTATAAACTTCTCTCTTCGAGCTAAATCATTATTCTTGGATTTACCGACAATTCAAAATAGATCACAGCCTAAGAACAACATTTTTATCTGTTTCCCCAAAAAATATTTTAATTCAGGTTGTTGGCTGCCATGAGATTGTGAGGACTGTATGCTTTATAAAGAAACTGACTTAAATAATAAGTGCACATCAAACCCACAACATTTTGAGTAAAATAACCACTTCACAAAAACAAATATTCAATTCTTTTAGTTTGGCATTAGTTTTACAACCGAATATCATGGTCTGTTTTTTAAATGAGGAAGTTTTGGTGAATTTACAAGGCAAATGATAATTTTAGGCCAACATTTTTTTTGACCACATTTTTACAGTCTTGTAATATTGGTCTAAAACTTAACATTTCCGTTGCCAGTTTTCTATGTTGAATTTTATTTTTAGTGAATAAACCCCTTTGTGTTACATGTAGAACCATATTTGGTTGATAGGAGGTACTTACATGGAGCGGACATGGAATATGGTACTCCTGGCAATGATCGGCTACCCATGTCATTTCCCAATTAGTCCTAGACAATTGTTCATAGCCATAGCATCCAAGTAATATCACCAAAGGTACTAAATATGTACCACTGAATACTCCAATACGGATCATGAATTTTTTCAGTTTTTCTTGGTTCCTTTCATCGTGTTGTATTACCTGGCGGACATTATTTAAAGAAATAATTCCAGCCAGCAGTAGAGAGAGCCCAATGAAAACACATAGGGACAGTGGTATGAGCACAAAATAAGTAGAAACGGATTTGTCGTACAGACCGACAAAACAAACACCACTAATGTTGTCCCCTTCAACTTTATTCATAGCCAGAAGAACCACGGTGAGAACACCAGGAAGGCCCCATGCCACTGTATGGAACCACATGGATTTCTGCTCTATGGCTTCACAACTCCACTTCTGTCCAGCAGCCAAATACCAAGTTATGGTAAGCATTACCCACCATATTGTGCCTGCCATGGTGCAAAAATATAGAAGCATAAAAATGACAGTGCAGGCTTTGTTTTGGGAACCAAGGACAACAGTGTCTCCTTCTGCAAAGTTTTCATCAGCTTCGCTGCAAGAAATGGAGTTTCCCATGAGAAACCCTATAAAGTACATGAGTGATACGATGCTGTAACAGACAGAGTAGAAAATGATGGGCCTTTCTGGGTATCTGAACCTTTTTACATCAATCAGGAAAGTTAGAAATGTGAAGAGTGTAGCACATAAGCAAATGATCGAAATTATGCCAATGAAATTCTTGGCAAAGTCCAAGTCTGCTTTCTCAAAGTACATGTTGGGACATGGTGGAGCGCAGTGGTTGACGCCCAAAAACTGATACCCTGTTCCTTGTGAGGTTTTCAAGTGACGGGGGCACCAGAATCCATAGTCTCTGTGAATTTTCTCTGGAGGTTTAGGAGTTCCCAGATCCAGATTTTCTCCAGTGGAGATGGAATCTGTAGTGTCACACTCATCAAGCCTGAAAATGAAAAGACAGAGTTATGAAATACTTGGTTTCACAACACACATGGTTAAAGGTGGGATACTTTTTGTTTATCTATAAATTCCATCACAGATGTGGAGAGTTATGGCTATAGTTTGCACTTGTCAACTTTTGTGCAACAGATTGTTATATTCAAAGAACCCAGTACTAATGGGCAGATTTATTTCTCTTCCGTTCATGAATTGTTCTTTGTTACTTTGGTAAGTGTTTTAATGTGCAGGATGCAGCTAAAAGACTGTCTTCCTGCAACTTTGTTCAAATGTATTACATTCTTTGTTTATAGCTGGGTTATACTGTGAAGTTTAAGAGTAAAACCCATGGATGTGACACATCCTGCTTCTATCAATGTGCTTTTGGTGTTAAGAGACAGAAGCAACACTATCCTATGTCTTCCTGTGATGGATCAACTCCAACACCCAAAGGGGAAATTAAATCATGCAGATAAACAAAAAGGCACTAAATTCAACAATGCATTAGTGAATTGATCTGCCCTTAAATAGACATTGCTTCTAGTTACATTTTGCTCTGCTAGATGGCCAACTAAAAGTTGGTTAATGGATGTGTTAACGTATTTTTTTTTTTATTAATGTCAGTTTGGAGATTTGTTTTAATTTAAATGGCAAGCTTGGCACACTGGGCACAGCAAGTAAATTAATTAAGCTCTGCAAAGATGTGTGAATGTTGCATGAGCGAGTAAAGCAAAGAAAACGAGCATGCATGCGACTGCATGGAATTTCATGAGAGTGCGTCATGGGGCAACTTTGTCGATGACAAAAGGGATGTTTTAGGTAAAATGTACGTACATATACACATACACAGAATCTTCAATTTATGTAACAATCTATGGAAGACAGTAATCATTCATTTCTGTTCTTTTGTAAACTTGACACTTTTTTAGTTCTTTTTACAGTGTCTTAAATTCTAATAAAGCAATGAAGAGCAGAACTGATGGTATGTCTTGGTGAAAATCATTTACAAATTTTTCGGTAATATCAGATATGAATATATGGCCTACCTGTCACACTCCAATTCGTCAGGCCATGTAATGTCAAACGTGTCAATCATCTGTTTACAGTCTGAATAAACAGTCTTGCAGAGGCTACGGCAAGGCATGGCTACATTTTTCGGCTCAGTGCAGGCCGGAACAAATGCTTGGCACAAAAAGGCATGCACCTCTGGAGAACAATGAAGATTCAAGAGAGGCAGGAATGGCTAAAGAAAGAAAACACAGAAAGCAAGATTAGCGCAAACTGGGTGGAGCACAACTTCAAATATCACTCAAGTTTTTAGTCATGTGATCACTTTTTTTTTTTTCTACTATGACTGGTACAAAAATTCTTTACACATAGATAAGCTCATCAAATGGTCCACAGTTAACCCATACTTACTTCGAAATACGAGGTCTAAAACTCAAGTCCTCTTTCCGGTATATGCAATGGTATTTCATTGAGATTCTCATGGAATGCATTCCTATCAACTGCTCGGTTACATTGGAAACCTTCATAAACCCACCATGAGGCGGTTACGCAATCATGCAATTGACTCTGCCCCAAAGGGGACGAGCCTAAATGGAAAAGGGACAGGTCAGCCCAAATAACTGGCACGCCAGCCCACTGAGGGCAGACCATGCAGGGAACACGGTTTCAGTGCTCTCTGCATGGTCCCAGAGCTCTAAATGTAGCGTAAGTGTGTCTAATGATGCACTTACACTATGCTTTCTGAGGACAGTTCCCCTAATGTTCCAAAAAGTGGGACACCAGGGAATAAAGCTGGCACAGAACCAGAATATCTGAACCATCCCACCAAAATTGGGATGATTAGGAGGCATGCCAACTGAAAAAACATCAACAGGGTTAGTTACCAAGATGAGAATTTAAGGTGAATTTCAAACTTATTGCCAAAATAAGAAAGGTTTTCTAAGCCAGCTGTGCACCTACTTTGGCATTACATTTGAAAGTCATTGACTTTGATTTCTAACTTCAGTAAACAGCCCTGCAAGTGACGCTTGTTCAGTGCTCATGTAGTGATTACAACATATAAACAAATATTTCACATAATGACATGTCTATTGTATTGGAGGCAGGCGGTTTCAATTTATCAATGTGACTAGTAAGCAATCATAACATTTTTTTATCAAGTTATTACAGTGTGGGGATTAAAAGAGGCAAGTTACCAAACTCTGTGTTTACTGCTAAATTCTTCGCCCTTCGATCATTCTATGGATTTACAGAATGCATAAACAGAGCAAGCCCTGCTTTTTTGTTTACATTTTTTTATTTTAATCTTCTGTGACATCTTTGGATGACCAATATCAAACAGATAATCTTTATTTCACATCATAAAAGGATGGCTTTAAATAGAAAACAGGCAACTCTCCTAAAATAATTTATGTTTCCTGCATACCTCCAAATAGTTCAAAAAGACAAAGAGGGACACTTTACATTTTCGGTGTGTGAGTAAGGGTACAGCCAGGGGCGGGTGCTGTTTCGAGAAATTTTAGGTGACTTACTGATAAATGTATGCAACTGAAATTTAATTTATCCTTATTTCACAGACTGATTTTCGAACACATTTATAGTAGATTAAAAGACACATCATTCTGAGTATTATTGTTGTGGAGCTCTGCTATACACAATTCAGACATACCAACAATATGGTGCTCCTAGAAAAAAGGAACATTATGGAAGAAAGAGGTGCAGAGGGATGTACAAGTGTGTGTGTGTGTGTGGCGGGGGGAGGGTGGGTGGATATATGGACTCTTCAGGATCAGTAGCTGTGTTTTTGTTTTTTCATTCTGGACCAAGTCCTTATGTCTTAGAATCCTTTGCTAAACTGTTAACAAAGTGGAGAACTAGGTCTCTTTCTGGCAAATTCCCAAGTATTTCTGGTGGTGGGGAATTGGTAGCACTAATTCTCTGAAGATATTTTTGAACTGAAGTAGAGCTGATAGTGCCTCCGCGAACAATTTCTTAAAAAATGTTGGGGTTCATGACTATCAGATTCAGATAGTTATTTCATTTTGAAATCACCAACAGAATGGACAACAGGATAAGAGATGATGAACAAACAATGACCGTGGCTGGTCAATTGAAACGCACTAGTAAGCCATGGGGAAGGACATACATGTCCTCCACCATTTTATAGGTCGTAAGTGTGACTGTACGAAAGGTAAAGGGATAGAACTCTTCCGTAATCATGTTAATTCATTACCAAAGTCTGGTCACTATATGTAAAAATAACAGGAGATATATCCTCCAGTTGGGAGATCACTATGGGTGTTAAATGTGAGACTTGGGTATTTGTATTAACTAACCACAAAAACCTGACTCAAAGTTTGCTACAATACATTTCTTAAAATAATATAGAATGCAGAAAAACTGTGCTTTATATTAAAAACCCCCTCATATGAATTTTATGAAAGACTAGCCTTATTTAATCTAAAATGTTGAAATGTATTGCCTGTTTATAGTAATTGCAGATTTGGCATTACACACCTAAAACACACAGTCCATTCTTGAATTCTCCAATTCCACGGTGCTTTGAAAATAAGAATCTCGACATTTAATGTGTGACCAGCCTTCCTGTCGCAGAGTACATTTTCTAAAGAGTTGTTTACTAGCTCAGAGAAAGTCATATATAACTGTCATCTGCTTTACACCTGGGGCTAAAAAACACTTTCTGTGTGTTCTCCGTATGTCTTTATATTACTGGAGACCTACGATGCAAACATGGGAGCCATATTACCATTAAACAATTTATTTTTATTTTCCCTTAATATCGAAAAAACAGAACAAAAAAAACCAAACAAGCAACCAGCAAAACACAACACGTTACCAGGCATAGACAGAAGCGACAAAATGCAAAAGATCTTTCATGTTGTGTTTGAGTGTAGGGAATTGTATATTATTTAGTCACAGAAATCTACAATATTGAAGTTTATCTTGTTTAATTTTGCTATCAGTATTAGCCTTGTTGTGTTGCTCCCTTTATCTAAAGCCTCAGACTGGATAAAGGGGGCTACTCCCTAAAGCTTGTTGTTCCAAAATAACGGCTGCCCAATAAAAACAGGTATTACAAGATACCGTGATAACACTGCATTATTCTGCGTCTCCATTACTGGGCTAATACAGCTTACAGAAATTACAGTTTCAGGGACATAACATTAGACTGGCTCATTGTTTATTATCTGTCATCGTAATCAATTACTATATTATTATGTCATTTGAATTTTACTTATTTATCTTTATATATTGGTTTACATGTGTGGCTAGGTAACAGCCAAGATTTATTAAAAAGAAACCGGCTAATTTAAACAATGAATATATAATTTACTTTTTTAATATTTATTTTTATTTATAAATTTATAAATTATGTATATTTATAATTATACATTACATTTATAATTCAGCTACTATTTGGAAATACTATAGCAGCTAATAAGCCTGCCCTACGGAGCGTAAAGAACAAAAAGGGGAAGATTTAGCAGCTTATGGGAGTCTATTTAGTCTATGTTTCTGTCCCCCTATTTTCCTGTAGGACTAGTGTTTATGGTCTGGGGCTGGGGTTGGGGGGGAGATAGGTCAGCTTTTTTAATAAAAGGAGCCTTTATTTAAGCTGGAAAGTGGTCCAAACACAACACATTGAAAACAAAACCCTTTTCATAGATCCTAAAAACACAACTTTCAAGATTCTAGACAGATTATGTAGCAGGTTTCAAAGCACAAGTGTGGTTTAATGCATATTTACTTTTACATGTCATTATACACACACTGAGCCATACAGTGTAAGTATTAGATTAATTTATCTTAGAGTCATTGTATACCTTCAATGAAATTCAAAATGGTAGGCAGTCTGCAAATGGAAGTACCTGCACTACAACTCCTATAATGCATTTAAGCCCTGTTGCTGGATTTGACTTTCAGGCTCCTGGTATTAGATGCATTTGTCAGACAGTGGTGGAAAAAAAGGGAAGGTTTCCTAACCCAGATACTTTGCCCCAAATCATATCTTACAGAATCAGTCAATGCCCAATTACTTGTACCCCAATAGCCCAAAAGTATCATGAACAGAACATATACATACAAAAAAAGAAATAAAAAACAAATCTACTTCTCTCCTTGCCTCTATATATTAGAAGTATTCATACCCACTTGGTTTAAATGGAGGATTCTTGTATTTGGCTAGCACTCACTTTGTAAGGATGGAAGTGTGAAAAGCGACCGTATAGGTCCTTGTTGGTTGTCATACTGGGCCTAAGATTTCTTAAATAAAATCAGGAATTGTGGAAGAGTAAAACAGAATAATGAAAACTATTGAAGATTTTTTCCACTATTGTGACCTGACATTTGCAATTCCTCAAAGTTCCTGGTTGAGTTGGATGAAGTCCTAGAGTTCAATTTCTGTTAATTTGCATCTCTCTCAGTGCTGCGAGTCAGAGTGCACTTTATAGTTAAACAAATTGGAACTGGCTGAATTATTGAACCAAATCAGATTAAATGTCCAGCTGCATGCGAAGATTACATAAAACGAATGAAACCATCAATTAGTGATAGACCCCACCTGGGAGATGTGAACAACTTTAAAAGCAAAGTAGGATTCATTTTAAATGAAGTTCCCATTGGACTTGAGCTTTCCAACTTTATTTTATTTTGTTGGTAAAGGCATACCTCCATTTGCTCTGGAATGTCTCATGAAGCTCAGCCAGCATCACTTTCTTTGCAAAGAATTAGGAGACTTGTAGTTCCACCAGAGCTGGAGAAAGATCTGTAGGTTAAGTTACTTTGATTGCATGTGACTTCCAAAAACGAGGAGCCCAATGAGTCAGAAGTATACTGTTAATGTTAATGTCTCTTAAATAAACTAGCTCGTGGATTAACAGAACACCTGGCAGCCATACCACTTCTTATCTGAATCAACACTTAACTCTTCCAAACTCTTCACATTTCAAAGTGGCTTTAACTAACCAGCCTCACACCACATCTACACAGATAGTTACCTGGGATGCGCTAAAAGTAGGGAATTCTTTGGTTACCAAAACTATAGTCTACCCCTTATTATATACTTAAAGGGACACTCTAAGCACTAGAAATAAAGTGGTTCATGTGAAAATAGCCTGACTCTGCAGTCTCACTAATGTAAACAATGCCTTTTCAGAGAATTTTTCCCCAACAGCACCTGTGCTGGCTGTCAATTAGTCACTAAAAAAGTGCGTCTTGCAATATAAACTGCATGTAGATGCTGAACGCTCCACATGGAGATGCAATTAGGTAGCTGAATTCTACTGTGGACATATTTGGAAGGGATGTGCACAGTAGCCCCCCAAATGCTTCCTCATGGTGGAACTAAAAGTTTCATTATGTTGCCGTACATGCGCACTAGCCTCCAATGCTTCCCTGCAGGGAAGCATTAGATTGGCTGGGATATCCAATTATGATCTTTGTTAGGGCAGAGCCACAGAGAGGGCTAAAGGTAATTAATACAGATTTATTTATGAAAACAAACAAACAAACAAACAAAAACACGGTGGTCCTGAAGCTAAATAGACAAGTTTGTATTTCTAAAGTCAGAGTTTTAATCTAACTTTAACAGGTTAAATACATGGTATTGGATTAAATTGTTAGTGGTAGAAATGAGCTCATTCATTTTACACATACACATACACACACACACACAAACAAACACGTATCGCCTGACTGATGAACCAATAGATTTCTAGCTTTAAAAAGGTTTGTCACGCAAGGAGTGTGGTAGGATTTATCTGCAAACACAATTTGACTGTTCTGCGTTCCCAGAGATAGGAGTTTCCATTACATCTGACAACAATGCGTCAGGTTCACACTTTCAAAAACTATTTAAATAAAACATGAATCATTCTTTCACATTGAAATGGGTGGGTCGCAGCTTTGCAGCATAGTAACCACAGTTTACTTTTTATTACAATTAAACTGCACGTTCGTTCATTTATTCTCTGTTCTATGAAAAGCAGCTGTAACGCAAACAAACAATATCAAAACAAACCAAAAAAAGAAAAAAAAAAAAAAAGTATTAAAGAGGAACTGATACTTTGGAGGTAATGGCAAATTCTAACCGGCAGTTACTCATATTTAATCATATCCCTCGGGTTCTTTTACATTTGCATTTTAAAAGGTGAGTCATTTCTGATACAGTCTGGCATCCAATGCAAATTCTAAATATCCCGTAATTCAATAATTTTCACCATAGCCTGATGACGCGGGGGGCTGTCCCCACCAAAGAGGGATAATTATAAGGAGATTATGCCAACTCATCAGAAATAGCTTTAGGTTTAGTTATGTTTAGTGTTGCTACAAAAGTAAAAAAGTTCTGTTTAATTGTGGATTTATTTAATGCATAAGCAAATTAGGCCCTGCTTCTACGGGCTTGAAAAAATGCAAAATAAATATAAAAACAAAATCACACAACAAAAACAATAAGACCGGTAAAGAAATGTATGTGGATATGTAACTATACGATGAATAGACACCAAAAAAATTGTAGAATATCCTTCCAAAGTTAAATCTCTGTCCGGCCGGCAAGAGAGTGTAACCAACATCTTTGGACCCCCAGTCTGCTATACCTGGTATTATTGCTTCTCTCATTTGGGACTGTTTTATTTACCAGTCTTTTATATATTTATGTGTTTTGTAGACAGTTGATATGTACTAATACATTTTCGTGAACAGTACTCTGTCTGCTGCACCATATATTAAGACTTAGTTCGAAGGACTTTACAATCCCCTGTGGGATCTATTATTTTTATTATCACTTTTTAACATGGTTTATTGATTCTATATATTACAGAACCTTTACTAGATTAACCCTTTAACAGCCAGTGGATTTCGCCTACCTTATTCTATAGGAGGTTATGATCTGACTAGCTGACACATTTAAAGAGGAATCAAGGGTATTCTTATTTATTTATCTATTTGCATTTCCATTTCCACTGAATCCTGTATTCATATATTAATTAATATTGATTTATTTCAATAAGCATCTTACAAAGAAATGTATGTGTCTGTGACTGGAATATGGTAGGGGCACACTGCCAATGCATGTCCCCATAATAAGGGTCATCCCTGAACTCCTTTGCACTTAGCAGCTGCCAATGGCATATAAAATATGAACCAATATGACAGACGTAGGTTCCGTTATTCAGGAACTACGCAAAAACAGATATACTATTAAATTTCCCAGCCCTTAATTTCAATAAAAAAAAAATAAAAAAAAAGTTATATCCCCAGAAGCATAGAGCATTTTGCATTTTTTCCATGTCTTTTTTTTTTTAAAGCAAAAGAAATGAAATCTCAAGAGATTGATTACAAAATGCCAAATCAGTATAATGTAACTCATACCAAAATGCTACCTGCAGCAACAGCACCTACTGTAAATGAAAAAAAAAACAAAAAGAGAAAAAAGAGAAAAAATCCCAACGCTATTCAGTTACTTGAAGAACTGGTTCAGCGTGTATATGTAAAGTATCAACTATAAAATTATAATCTTTTCCATTACTTTCTTCTAACTTTGCGAGGAGGGGCAATTCAATGTGTCCACTTAATAACAAAATAAGGATTTGGAGCTACTGCCGATAAATTGCGTAGAAAATTTACTACTAATTGTTTGGTGTGTTGACAAAGGATTAGCTCTTTAGTGTGCTTTGGTGTTCATGTCCTATGACGTGGTGCTATGTTAGTTGCTTTATGTAGGTTAAAGGCATATAGTTTGTGGTTACAGCAACAGAGTTTTCTACTTTGTATTTTTGTCGTGCCATTTTGCCATCTCCAGAACAATATCTCGGACACTCATCTCAAAGTTACATTTCGCTCGGATACCAACCCTTGGATACCAGCAGAATTTGCTTTCAAATTTGTAGTCAAAGAAATCGGTAAATACAGTATTAGTTTAAGTGTAATTCTGATCCCAGAGTCCTTGTTAACACCAGTTGTGCAGGGAACCACCATCCCCTAAGTTCCTCGCAAAATTATCTTATGGGACAGAGTATCCAGTCTGGGTGGGTTGGATTAGGCCGGAGAGAAAGTGAGAGAGAGAGAGAAGGGAGCGGTCGGGTTGACACGCGAGCCCCTTGTCAGGATTAGAAAGGCAATGACCTAAAGATCTGTCAAACCTGGAGCCTTTAGGGCAAAACCTGTAATTTTGGCAGATATAGATCCAAGTATAGCTTGTGTGTTTCCCATTACCCTCAGTTTACAGCAAGTGAAAATGAATGGAGAGGTGCGGAAGAAATACAAATTGTAGACATCACATGGAGAAATAGATCCCATAACTAAATAATAGTAAATGAAAACATACACTACAATAATAATAAAATAATAGGAAATACATATTTGATTACACTATAACTTGAGAGTTGAATTTTGTTTTGGTTTTAATGTACTAAAGATTCTAGAACATCAGGCAATTTCTTACGGACGTGCAGACCACATACAAAAGGCAATGTTTCGTTCACATGACCTCGGATGAAGAAGCCTTACGAAGGTCATATGACTGAAACCTTGCTCAGACTTTTTGGCCTTGGTTCTGAACTAATAAATCTTGCATGCCATTCTGGAAAAGCTTGTAGTGTTGGAGTCTTTATTACTTTTGGTTCAATTGGGGGACAGACTGTTGATATTTTCTTGCACTGGATACATTACAATATGTTTGTCAAGGACTAATACATTTATTGACTATGAATAGCATATCATTTCATTATGTAAAACGTTTTAATCCCTCGACACATGCAATTTCCATACATTCACATGTTAGTGCTAATTTTAATGCCGGCCGATTATGGTTAAGGGTTAATTTGAGGGCTATAATTAGATAAGAGGTAAGTGTAAGTGTGAAGATTGTAAGTTGCTTATTACATCTAAGAAGTTGAGATCTACTTCATTAAAAAAAAAAAAGAAAAAAAAAGAACCATTTAATCAATATTTCAGTACGGTGTTGCAAAGCTCTTCTAATGCAATAAATGGATGATGAAAATTAACAGGAAACTTTGATTGTATGTTTATTGGTTTATAATTAACAAGTACACTTTGACACAGTTACCAGACTTTCATAATGGCAGGCAGCCAGATCCTGGGACACATAATTAATCAATAATTATCTGCTGGCACAGTAACTGCTAGAAAACAGAATTTACCAAAAAGGATGGCTAGTAGAACTGGAGTTGGACCCTGCAGCTGCAATCTGTGTCTGAAACAAGACCTTAAATACATTTTTTTTTTGTAGCACAGGAAAAAAACTTCAGTGTCCTAACCCATCCTGAGCAGAGTGGCCAACGCCAGGCAACCAGTGGTTGGACTACATCTTCCATAGTTCATTGCCAGCTGAAGGCAATAGGACACCCATGACCTAGATAAATAATGGCTAATTTGGCACCTGATTCCATGATGTGTGAGTTTTAAGAGAATTGTGGGAAATGTAGTTTAAAAAAAATAAAAAATGGAGACTGCAAAAGTGAGCTAAAATAAAAACTTTTAAAAAGGGGTAACATCCCACTGACCTAAATTATGGGCACCTTTGATGTTTTACAGACGGTTTGTGTTTTGTTTGTGTTTTTTGGTGTAGTGAAAAAACACATACAAGCATGGCAGTCTTTCCACGTTAACCAAATTAAATATTATTAATAACAAACTGTTACCGGTTGCAATAAAGTACTGTAATTTGACTCTATAAAATACAGGGTGGGGGGAGGGGAGTAAAAAGCTCAGTACAAGAACAAACATCAATGCATTCCTGGGCAGCCTGATGAAAGCAAGCGATGTGCATTACGCTTTCCGTTTGGAGTCCCTTAGCTACAGCCCAAGCAAAGAATGACTGGGTGGTTGATGTTTAACCGATTGTCTTTGTGCACAAGCTGAATAGTAAATGTAAAGACTTGCCTTGTGAGGCAGAAAGTCTCATGGAAACCTTTCTAGTAGGGATACAGGCATGGGACATACTGATCACAGTTAACCCTTTCACTGTGGTCACCACTATCTATTTCATAAGCTTTCCAAAAAGATTCAATATTGCTAGTAGATTTTCCAAGTGATTTTTCTACAGAAGTCACAATTAATGTCTATGGGAATTTTTGTAGATACATTCAGAAGTTTTTTTCCAAAAATATTGATTTGGAAAGCTTATTAAATCGATGCCTTCATGTCTTTCTGTATAAACTGATAGCAGTTATATCGATTCTATCAGGTTATAGACAGGGGAGTTCGGACTCACTTGGTTTGTGAACCAGGCTGTGGGTAGTGGCTTCCTCTCCAGGTGTGAGAGGGAGAACTGTTTTCATTGTGCATGGGCACACCATATATAACAAATCAGACAAAATTCATATAGCAAACCCGGAATGTAATATTCCGGCTGGCCGTAAAACTGCTTGGGAGGGGAGTTGTAATATAACTGTAGCAGTTTTGGTTTTATGTGTGTTTTTTACATATCACTCACAGTAAGGCTGGCAAGAAGGGTCATTTTTTCCCTCTAAAAATTAGAATGTTGGGAAGTCTGTTTGCACATCTAAGCACCAGTAAGGCTCCAGTCGGCAGGGGTTGTGTAGAGCCTTTGCTAGCATGGCATTGTGTGTGTTACTGCAGGTGGCATGTGCGGTAAATGCTCTCCAGGCCTGGAACATCAGGATATTTCCTGGAGGACTGTTATCTGACCAGGCTGATAGAGTACAGTGGACATGCATGTGCCTGTAGGTGTTTGCCCGGTGATTGCAGGGTGAAATCAGACCACGATAATGACATTCAAAACACACCTGTTGTCATTAGCAGAAATAGTGCTGTAGGAAGTCTGCGTCTCTTAGGCATGCACAAATCTCGGTGAATGGTCCCTCTTACAGTGCAGGTCATACTGATGGAGGTTGCACAGATATAGGATAGTACACCTCGCTACTCCATAAGCCTCTGTCACTTTTGGACACAGGAACCCCCACTATCTTCTCCTAAAACGCATTATGCAGTAAAGGCATCTACGCAATGCAGCATACCCAGTGCTCTATGACACCATCATAGCATACATGATTGACATGTGTGACCTACGGTGCTAAACCTTTGGCTAACTTTTAGCTAGCTACTGGACTGTGATAGCGATAGTTCCCCTTTAAGAAACAGCTACTGTGAAAACCTCTAATTTTCTTTTTGGATAATTACATACAGTTTTATTTACTTTGGTTTTGCAACTGCCAATATCCATGTATTTAGCACATTTCTAATTTCAAACATGTCTGGGCCTGTTTATTGGTTGTTTCACCTTATATAACTTTTCGGGAATGGTGGCGTAAAAGGGGCCACCTGAATATTGTTTGCTTGCTGGTGTCTCACATGTAACTCTGGCACTTCTCCCGAAGGAGTTAAATAGTAATCGTGATCCCTCTGACAGACAGAGGCATAGAGATAAAATATCCATTCATTTCACTGGTGTGGCAACTGATGCATTGACTCCAAAGATCCAGAGCCTGATGAAACCTGTAAGACTTGCATGGGAAATGCCATTGTGTGCGGTGGCTCTGCGCCAGATACAAAGCACTGTTTCGTCTTGCATGACACAAAACAAAGCTTCAGTCTGCACAGGCAAACATTCCAATGAAACAGAGCATTATACAAAGGAAGAAAAAGGCAGTCTGTACTGAGAGAGGAGGAATAAAAATGGTTTTCATCGACCTTGTGAGCTGCAGGTCAAAATATTGACTGTAAGAAAATTGAAAGAGAAGTAGACTTCATTTTATTCAGAGCAGGACTTAGCAGTAGATAAGGGCGAGTTGTAAATCTGGAAGTAACCCTAAAACAGCTCCACTTCAGATGTGTGAGATTTAATGAATTAAATTATTTTTAGTCATTACTTGTTTGAAAAACTAAATCTTAAAAAACTCTCTCTAAATGCATGGAAGGGAATTATGAATCATTTTACATTTAGCAGTAAATGTGTCAGTACTATAGCCGGAGGGCTTCATTCGTTAAAAAACAAATTGTACTTAATTAAAAACCTCATTGCCAAATTCAAAACTAAAACAGCCAAGTTGCAATGGTCTAGAACCGAATTCGGGAATTTCCCAAATCAGTTTTTTAGATGCAAGTATTGCAATTTGGTGTTTAGGGAATAAAAGTGAGACTCGGGGAAGAAGCACAGGCTGGCCAAATATATCCACACCGCTGGATGAGTAAAACGGATGGACAGTCTCATTTCCAAAGTAATTCTTACAGTATGGTGTTTCTGTGATTTGGTCGAGTCATTAAACACACAAAATTCCAAAAGGAATGTCTGACTCATTCAGCACGCTGGTTCTACTTACTGAAAATCACCACCTTTGTATAATTTGAGAGATCATAAACACATTATCAGACGTGAACTTTGCATAATATTTGGAAAATTTAATAATGTAAATCATCCGTTTTTGCAGATTTGCAAAATCGTAAAAACATGACTATGGTAAAATCATGCTAAATGCAGTTTGAAAGCAAAGCTTGTGCTATTTAGGATTACAGAGAATCCATTGAATTTAGAATACATTAAGGTTTTATCACAATTGAATCAACCTATAGTCCTGAGGAAATAGAGGACACGAGCAAAGCAGTGCACATAAGAGTCAGTAGAATTTCATGAAAAAAAGTCTGTGGATGTACTGGTTTCCTAAATTCTGCACATTAAATTCAGATCTGCTCTTAAACTTATTTTCCCCCAAAATATGCCACTGTAATTTATTGTATGAATTTGCTCCATGGTCAATTTCAACGATTATTCTAAAGTAATTGATCTCGCCCTAGGAGACAGCTGAACCTGTCAATCAGTGTACATGGTCATGTTTACTAAATGTCTCTTTGAAAGAAGTTTATTGGATAAGAATTGACCTCATATATCAGAATGAGACACTTCTGATTGGAGGTCTCAATGGTTAGGTAGTTGCAAGTAGATATGGAAACATTTGCATCAAAGGATACTTAAAAATTACCTATAGAAGTAATTACTCACCACCCTGATAGTTTCCTTCCAATCTGTTTTTGAAAGGGCCCCACATTATGTACATGGCAATAGCTTGTAGACTCAATCCCTAATTGCAAACTTGGTACAGCAAGCCATTCTAAACTTGAGAATATATATATATATATATATATATATATATATATATATATATATATATATACACACACACACATATATACACACACACACACACACACATACATAAACCACACAATAAATTCAACAAAGCACCTTTATTAGAATCCTCCCAGTAGTAAATGAGTCTCCATTACCCTGCAGAGAGAGGACTGTTACAGTAACACATTTTTGTGGGCCGTTGTCTGTGGTCTGATTAAGATGATATGCCTGTTCCCGTCAATGAGGACCAACTAAAACAGTGCAGTGACCCAATTTATACCATTGCTCTGAGAATTTGGAATAGGGTACTTACAGTATTCCAATTGTACTTATCCCAGGACTTATCCATTAAAATCCACAGATATTTTCATGTGAATCTGTTTACAATGTTGTTCTACTGTGCTGGAAATAGATGACAACTATGAGGGTTAACTACTTGGGCAAGCACATATTTCAAAATTCAAACAGAGCCACTGATACCAACTCATTTCAGAATAGGCCATCTCCAACTTAATGGATGCAAGGAGCTTTTCCTGGTCACCCAAAATTGTTAATTAGGGTATAAATTTCTCAGAGAAGACAGTGGTGATGGATCATCGTATCCTGAAGTCCCTGTCCGAGTAGGTCATTACTAAAACTTACGGAGTATCATCCTAGACCAGTGGTGCCCGACAGATAGATCCCCATATGTTTTAAAACTACAGCTTCCATGATGCTTTGCCATTGCAAAGCATCATGGGATTTGTAGTTTTACAACATCTACCTTTTAAGCAGCCCTGTTGTAGAGACTAGAGCCTGGTGCTGTGTACCATTCAAGTCTCACTAAAGATTAAAATATATCTTACCTCCATTTTACTGGCAGCGATATCTTGATCATAGTGTTCCATCATATTTGGAAAAAAAGTCATGTTGTAGGTCATTCCGATACATCTGGGTACGGTGATGGGCTCACAAGTGAAAAGGCTGTGATTTTCCACATTGGGTAGAAGTAAAGTGCCAAACAAAATAATCCAAGAACAAACAGTCATCCTGATAACGTTCACTTTCAGTGCGAGCACATAAGACATTTGGCAAAGCCTCTTCGGAGTGCTAGTGGATGCAAAACATTCACATTCAGTTAGGCAATAAAGAACGGTGAGGAGGTGCTACATCCAATGTCCTCAGGAGGTAAAAATGCACCAAGCCTTGGAATCCGTAGATTATATTTAGTAGACATCCTGTTAAAATACAAATACAAATTAAGGTATTGAGCAGCATCCTGTTGATTCCAAGTAGGCAAACAATAATGCAATTATAATACAATCATCATTTTTTTTTTTTTTTTATATAGAGCTGCACTCCATAATGATGTCTGGACTAGGTGTCTGATGTTTAGAAGACAAAATAAAAAAACACAATATAACCATTTGGTATTTACGTGGGAAAATAAATAATATAAAACTAAATTTATTTGGAATAAAGAACAATATTTTGTCTGCGTGCTACAGGAGTACAGATAAAGTCCTTCAACTTTTCTCAGGAAAGGGACCCTTCAGTGGGAGAAATCCTGAACTCATTATGATGGATAATATGAAGTGATTCTGCTAACCTCTGCCTCTAAGGAGTGAAAACAGTTACTAACACATCTAAACAGGGAGCATTGCAGCAAACAGATGCATTATTATTGCCATTTATTTAGCGCCAACAGATTCCGTAGCGCTTTACAATATTATTAGAAGGGGGATTTAACTATAAAATAGGACAATTACAAGGAAACTTACAGGAACGATAGGTTGAATAGGTTCTTATTCATAAAAAAAAAAAAAAAAAAACCCCACACACACACACAGCCCTATGAACACAATTTAACATACCCAATAACGGTTAATGGCACATTTACTTTGCATAGAGAAACATATTAAATTGGTGGAAACATTTTTTTATAAGGTTGATATAAAGATTTATACACAAGTTACTATATTAAAGCAAAAATGTTTTTATTCAGTAATTTGGAATGACTTAAAAAAAGACTAACAGTGATTTTCATATCTCTAACACATATTTTAGGATTCTGGTTCTTTTTTGTTGTTTTTTTGGTTCTCTATGTGAGATTTTATTTTTACATAAAAAAAAAAAAAAAGTTATCTTTTATGTTACCAAAAAAAAACAAAACAAAAAAAACATTGCACACATTTTTAAAAATAGGAGTATAATTTTTTTTTTTTTTTGCCAAAGTTTCAGTACTCCCATAGAATGACATGTAGGAGACATTTGTATTAGAATGGAATGGTGACATGGTAGGGTGTTCCTGGGAAAGCAGTTAGGCCTCCTGGGTAAATGTGAGTGTGAGCCAGCCGTCTGCCATCAAGGTTAGGTGGCCTTTGTCAATGACTCTACTATGCCTTGCATGCTAATTATACACATACACAAGATTAAGTCAACACAGGCCTCAGGGAAAAAGATACAATCTTCCTTACTATTGACAGAAACTTAATATCAGTTATTGGAATCCTGTGTGTGTTCAAAGGTTTGGTGTAGGACTAGTTATATTGTGTTCTATTCCAGGGGATAGGAAATGGAGACAAGGCTCTCAGGGTCAGTTTATAAAAGTACTTGGCAGATTCAGCCTGACTCGGGAGTCTCCACATTGCCATTTGTCTCTCGGAGCTTCTGTTTGGCAGTCTGTAAATTCCCCAAAACAAGTCGTAATTATCTCCACCACAAGGACTTTGTGACCAAATGCAGACAAAAAAACAAAAACAAAACACATATCTGAAAGGCTGTGGTTTGTAAACAAGCTATTAAATCTTCTCTCTCGGAGCCAAGATAAGGCTTCCACAAATTAGCTTTTCTAGGCTTACGTTTATTTTGGATGAAATAAATTCACTTCAAAAAAATTTGCACAAAGAAAGACCCCAGAAAGCAAACAAAACACAAATATATAAAGTTTTAATTAATATAAGAAATTAACAACTTGTTCAATGTGAAAAACTTAACTATGCTGTTTATTTCACTTAATACAGAAAAATAAAATAAAAAATAAACTGCAGTATGAAACCCAACAGCTCGCTGTGATCACCTGACAAGAGCCTACTGGCCCCATAAGCCATAGTGATCAAATGTCTGCTGGAGCTGGGGCCACGTATAGACAGTGTTTATTACAAAGTTATATTAATATCACTGCTGCTTTGAATGATGCAGATTTATAATCGCCTCCAGTTAAGGGGAAACTTGATCACCCCATCATAAAGGAGGTATCCCCAAGCAAATTATGGATTGAGTTACAGACTCCTCTGGCGCACAAGCCGTGACTGGGAAAGGCACGTCCCAAATATTCAATTTAATAGGTATATGGATAGATATATAATGTTTCATAGTTCCCTATTTTGTTTTATTTTTGTTTAACTAGCAAAATGTGTATTTTTTATTTTTTTTAATATAGGTATTAGTATAGCCACCGCATGAACACAGTAGAGACGTACTGGATACCACACTCACCAAATAAGCCAGGTGCTTTTAAGCCAGGGCTGGCCAGGCTTCCCTTTCAAGATCTGCAGAATAAATAACGGTTCAGGGACCCCAGGATAAATAAAAAAAAAAAAATTGCAGTGTTGGGGCAAAAGCAGCAACATTTCGACCCCATCAGTTTGATAAAGACCCGGTAGTGCCTGAACCGTTATTTATACCGCATTAACACAAACATCCTCAAAATCTGTGCTCATCATATCAATCTATTAAGGTTTGGTAGTGAGCGTAAAATTAAAACCCTTAGCCACACAGTGTTGTGTTTTTAAATGACTGTTAACTGTACATTCTGTAAATCTTGGGTAGTCCACACTCCAGCCAACACTCACCGCATAGGAAACACCACTGTACCTCAGAGAACCAGGTTCCCAGCTCTGTAATGCAACTTGGCATTAAAAGTAGAACTCAACAAATCCTGGGGGTGCCTGAGCAACTTGGCTGCACATAAAGGCATCATAATGGTGCCCAGGTAGATCGTAATCTCCAGTCTGTTTATGAAAACAGCTTCTGGCATTCCCTGGTTCTTCAACATGGCATCCTAACTGGGTCAAATTGGATGGATCAATTGGTTCTAATCCAACACCTCAATCTATCTACATCAGGGATACCCAGATGTTTTAAAACTACAGCTTCCATGATGCTTTGTCATTCTAAAGGCATGCTAAGCACCCCTAATCTACAAGTACAGCAAACATACTCCTTTCTTGCTCCATATGAATTCTACTCACGTTTCACATCCTCACCATCAGCATGTTGAAGTGATGTGTTGGGAGAAGGGGGAGAGTAAAAAAAACTAAAAAGAAAAGAATAAAAATGGGCCTGACAAGCCTTTTTTAGAAGATTTAATTACTATTAAGAATTGGGAGAATTTGAGTTAACCCCTGTTACAGATGTTAGAAGTAACCAAAGGTCTGTAAGTTTTAGACCCCAAATAACCAAGTCTGTAAAATAGCTGCATTTGAGAAATTTGACAAAAAAATAAAATAAGCAATTCTTGGGTAAATTCCCAGTTTAGTCAGTTTATGTGCAACCTGGCCACATCTGAAAAACTACTTTGAGTTGTAGTGCTTATGGTGCATAGGATGCTTCTTCCAAGGCTAGAATCGATTCAGTATATCCTGTCTTGTTAAAATGAAATGAAATAACGCAGAGATGTGACCACGCTGGCTTTATTTCCCCAGAGTTTCTTTGAAATCCCCCTCCCTTTCTGAAAAAAGATACTAATGCAAGATAATCACCCAGCTCAGCATGATGGGACCAAGTGAAAGGTACAGAAAAACAACGACCACTTGAGTGTGTGAATGCATCCATTACGCAATTAGTGTGAGTGATAGATATTCACTCAAGGCGAAAATGATTAGCCATTTCACAGCTTGAGAGACCTGTCAGATTCTGACAGCTTAATACACTAGGGGGGAGGAGGGGGATTTAGAAAAGTGTTGTAAACAAGAAGGTGGCGCAATGTTCCAAATGTGAAACAATCACCATCAAAATCAATGGCAAGATTCTCTGAATTCCACTTGTTTCCATGGAAATTGCTCTACCCCAAGAACATTGCCCACATTTCTATTGGCAACACTTTTAAGTCTCCCTGATAGAGTTTGCAGCACAGGAACCACACACAGGCCTGTAAAACAAAGGTAGACTTCAAAGAAATGTTAGATGGGTTGTGGTGCAATGCCTGCCTATTTACACCTTCCCTTTAATACAATAAAACATGCTCCTCACATAGTTGACTTTGTGCCACATACCATTTAAAACCACTTAAATACCCAGTGAGAGGAGACCCAGACTGCACCTTAATTTGAACTGATCAAGTGTAATGTGCATTGATACAATAGCAGGGGGAAGAATGAAATACAGGTTAACCAATTACCAGCATGTGCAGTGCTAATGCAAATAGGGCTTGTTCACAAAAAAAAAAAAAAGTTAACTTTGGCATCACATTTAAAGGCAGAACAAAAACAAAAAAATAACACACATAAGTCCACCACACACTATATTCCCATCCTGGCTATTTCAAGATACATTTTGGAAATATGATTTCCATGTCATGGCAATGCACCAGTTTCAGACTTATTAACGCAAGTCAGAATTCAAAGTGAACTTTAAATTCAAGGTAAAAAATAGCTGGACTGAAAACATTCTCCAAGTCAGCTGTGCTTCCGGTTCAGCTACTCTGGCCGACAACCATCACCAGAATTTAACTATGGCAAGTGATTGATAATTTGCGATTGCTGTAAACTGGTTCACGTGAGTTCGGCAAAACAATGATTTCCTCTTCAAAACCAATGTTACAGAATTCTGTCCGTATTCGGCATTAGTAAATACGTATGAGAATTGCCAATGTGGTTGGATTTGGACCATGCAGACCACACAGGGCGATGGCCGATGACACACCGCTCTCTGCAGGGAGTGAAGCAGGAGCCCAACGCTCAGATTCTACCTCTATCAGACCGAAGGTGTATGAATATGGCAGAGGGATCTAGTGTTCTGTTAAAGTAGGGACCATATTGTCAGGTATTTTTAAATATATTTATTTTAAAATATGTTCATTACATGCTGCAAGGATTCTTATAATAAAAAAATAAAAAATAAATTTTAGGTGACAGTTGTCCTTTAAATTTGAAATTCACATTAGTGAATAATCCTGAGGATGTATGGACCCACGGAGAGAATAACTGACATTGTTTTTAGAAACTATGCGCGATTTCTAACAAAAATTTTTTTTTATAAAAAATTTAAATGCCACTGGCTGACAGAAACTGCTATGAGAACATTTCTTTATTTTTTTCACTTTTTTTTATTGCTAAGCCCCATATTTCCCTTTGACTCGGTATGCAAACTTGGCATTTATAATAACACATTGTAGCCAATTGTACAGCGCTGCAGAATTTGTTGGTGCTTTATAAATAATAATACAGTCTAACGTCATCAATATTATTTAGATCTAACACTGGGCTATCATCACATAGACCTGAAAATATACCTGATATGTTAAACTAAAAAAAATCAAATAAATAATAATCAAATTAAATAAAACCAAATAACATTCTCAATAAACGTGTGGGTCAGTTATATAATATTTGCAGTGGATTATCAATGAAAAATACCACTAAGGGTTGTGTGGTTATTGGTTACCTACCACCAATCATGCATTGACACTAGGGATTAGTCCAAAAGTAAAGTGAGTAAATATTCAGTCCCATCCCCCACCAGACACCAGCTGTTACAGTGGACCTGTTACTTGTGTGTTATTTCCAGTTTCTGCCAAACACATAGTCCATATCTCAGCAACAAAGTAAAATCCTCAGACAAAAATAAAAGCAATGTCACCTTCTCTTCGCAACCCCTGGTAACCCACCTTATAGGGCTGCTAGATCCACCACGTCAGAAAGTGGACTGAATGGAATTCTATGGAAGATCCCATGAAACCAGAGGTGTGACATCAGCTGGATTTTCCCACCAATGCATGTAAAGTCTTCAATGGTAGCTAATTTCTATGCTGTCAACTATAACTTAATTAAAGGCTCTTCTCAATGGAAGGGGTTACCAGCAGAAAAGCAGATAGAATAGGAGTAGTCCCTAAATTTCTAATGTGTAATTAAAAAAAAAAATAATTCGCTCAACTTTTATTAAAAATAACTAAACAAAAAAAAAAAAAAACCTAAAACACTGCTTTTTCCTCGTCCGGTTTTCTACTGTTAATTATCTTGTTCTTAACTTGCACTTTGTTTTGTATTGTGCATTCACATTTATAGCATACTATTGTGTTTTTTTTTGTTTTGTTTTTTTATTTCATTCACTCAAGCAAAGGTTGAATGAATAAAATAAATACTATTAAAAAAGTCAAACCAGCCCAGTACTAGATTTCTGCCCCTGAGTGTTTGGAGACCAGAATGAAGAAAGATCCTTGTGTGTTAGAGTTTCACTGATCCTAATGGGATTGTAATGACACCAATGGTAGATCCATTCACCGACAAGACAATTCTTACTACTAAACTATGGTTTTAGGAATTAAATGCTAAGAGCTACAACGTTTATATTTTTCATCTTAGGTTTTGCCAGTTAGAATGGCGAATAAAAAGATACTTCCTAAGTTTAAAATAAATAAGTAAGCCTGCTATGCCAAAATGTATTATATATATTTAAAAACAATTAAAATAACATTCTGGAAGAGAGAAAAAATATACATATACACACCTATAATGTATACATACCAAGCTTTCTAAATTAGAAATAGATTATCTGGCTCTCTCTCTTGCGGTTCTTCCCCCCCCCCCCAGGGATTTGAAAAGAGATGTCTTGGGTAATTTCGAGTTATCTATAAATTCCTGTAAAAGCATTAGTTGGCATATGTGTGTGTACAATGTGGCATTGCCAATGCCACACATTCTCAGAAATTCTAAATACAATCAACAACTAAAGGACCTTGGGCAATTCAATTTACTCAGTAAAGTGTCCATCCGATGTAAGGGATACAAAGCACACAGGGCTAGTTGGCTTAACCATCTAGAACCAAAATTTCAGCATAGAGAAATAAGTAAATAAAACAAAACATAAAACAAAAAAATAGGACAAAAAAAAAAAAAAGAGTCCTAAGTGGAAGAGTAAGAGGAAAAAAGATGGAAAAAGTAAATAAAATATAAAAAAGGTTCAATGCACAGTAATAAACAAAATTATTGAGGTCCAAGACAACTGTGAGGCTGCTCTTAGTCTGCCATCAACAAAACTGTGTATGGTGCTGTGAGAACAGGGGAAATGATTTGGGCACACACCACCTTCAATAGCTTTTACTGAGCAAGGGAAAAGGAACCAAGAACAAATGGAAACATAATGCAGGTGATCTAGAACAATAAACAGCGTTACGGCAACCTGGTGTACAAAGCATTTCTATCACATTATATAATATATATACCCACACACATATACGGTATACACATAAACACACAACTGGAAATGGGTCAGACATTTGGTTGATAAAATTCTAGAAGTCAGTCAGTCTGTGTTACATTCTGTCATTTTGAATGTACTGTGTAAAGTACTATTTCTTCTCTGTTTGTTTTTATTATTTATTTGTTTTTTGATTATCCATTTTAAAGGTCAGATTTGTTCTGGAACATTCTGCCATTATAAAGATTAAATACTAGAATATGCGGTCCTGAGACTTACAACAACAACAACAAAAAGTTTTATAGCATCCTCTTTATCAAACAAACTATTTTTGTCTATTTTCACACATTTCTTCATTTAGAAGTCAATATATGAAGCATTGAAGGCTACACTTGGCAGATGTTTGTAAACTACACTTCCCAGGGTTCCTAGCTTAATCTACAGATGGAATATCTTCCCTGCCAAACGCTGGCTGATACTATACATCCAGAGCTTAAAACATGGATATACCACCATATGCATACTGCACCATCTGGGGACCTGTCCAAGCAAAGCAATTATTAGGAGAAGTGATTTATTGGCGCAATAAAAATACAGATTGCAAGTGCATTAAACACGTTGGAACTCATTTAAAGTTTTTTTAAATTTATTATTCGCCAGTCGCCTCTGTTTGGGTCACTGTTGCACCTGCTTTCAACAATACTTCTCCAGAGCAGTTTCATTGTAAATAGTGTCCTTTTCATGGCAAACCCCGGGGGTTTCTTTATTCTAACTCCCCTGCATGAACTACAGAGTTCCTCCAATACTATTTACCCCCCAGCCAATTGTAACAGATTGCCCCCACCCTACATATAGTTCCCCCTGAGCATACAGAGAGGCCCCCTACCTTACAGAGAATGCCCCTGAACATACAGAGAGTGCCCCTGAACATACAGAGAGGCCCCCACCTTACAGAGAGTGCCCCTGAACATACAGAATGGCCCCCACCTTACAGAGTGCCCCTGAACATACAGAGAGTGCCCACACCTTACAGAGTGCCCCTGAACATACAGAGAGGCCCCCACCTTACAGAGAGTGCCCCTGAACATACAGAATGGCCCCCACCTTACAGAGAGTGCCCCTGAATATACAGAGAGTGCCCACACCTTACAGAGTGCCCCTGAACATACAGAGAGACCCCCACCTTACAGAGAGTGCCCCTGAACATACACAGAGGCCCCCCACCCAGTACAGTGTCCCGAACTGTCTCATTGTCCGCTGCCTCCCCAGCCCCTTCTTCTTCCCTTGTCAAACTATTAATCTTACCTATACACATAGCATTCTATACAGTATACATTGTATTATACACATGGAATTTTAAACTGTATACATTGTATTCTACAAATGTAATTATATATACAAGGTTTTCTATGTACACATTAAACTATATATACACACACATTGTATTCTATACATGGAATCCTAGATATACACATTGTATTCTATACATGGAATCCTAGATATACACATTGTATTCTATACATGGAATCCTAGATATACACATTGTATTCTATACATGGAATCCTAGATATACACATTGTATTCTACACATGGAATCCTAGATATACACATTGTATTCTATACATGGAATCCTAGATATACACATTGTATCCTTACCTCTGAACACTAGGATCCGGCTGCTGCATTCAGGGCAGACACTTCTTGGTGGCTGGTGTCCCGGGGTAACTCACATCCTACTTAGATAACTCACTCCCACTCCGGATCACCCACTGGCCGCACTGCTGTCCCCGAGTCCCAGCCAGGCTGACTGCTCATAGCGTGCGGTAACAGAACTTCACATGTAAAGCTGTCTCTGATTGGCCCCCGGGGTTGTGTACACCCCCCGCTGATTGGTTGGTGGAGCCAACGTTCCATCCAGTATTGGTTTATTACTGTTAGTATAGAGTCTGGGAGTGAGCTGTGTGTAATAAGCAAGTGTGAGCTCTCTTCATTACACTCAGTGCAAGACACATACATACTCTCTCTGTGTTACACTCAGTGCTAGACACATGTACATACTCACTCTGTGTTACACTCAGTGCAAGACACATGTACATACTCTCTCTGTATTACACTCAGTGCAAGACACAGGTACATACTCACTCTGTATTACACTCAGTGCAAGACACATGTACATACTCTCTCTGTATTACACTCAGTGCAAGACACTTGTACATACTCTCTCTGTGTTACACTCAGTGCAAGACACATGTACATACTCTCTCTGTATTACACTCAGTGCAAGACACAGGTACATACTCACTCTGTATTACACTCAATGCAAGACACATGTACATACTCTCTCTGTATTACACTCAGTGCAAGACACAGGTACATACTCTCTGTATTACACTCAGTGCAAGACACAGGTACATACTCACTCTGTATTACACTCAGTGCAAGACACAGGTACATACTCTCTCTGTGTTACACTCAGTGCAAGACACATGTACATACTCTCTCTGTATTACACTCAGTGCAAGACACAGGTACATACTCACTCTGTGTTACACTCAATGCAAGACACATGTACATACTCTCTCTGTGTTACACTCAGTGCAAGACACATGTACATACTCACTCTGTGTTACACTCAGTGCAAGACACATGTACATACTCTCTCTGTGTTACACTCAGTGCAAGACACATGTACATACTCACTCTGTGTTACACTCAGTGCAAGACACATGTACATACTCTCTCGCCATTACACTCAGTGCAAAGACACATGTACATACTCTCTCTGTATTACACTCAGTGCAAGACACATGTACATACTCTCTCTGTATTACACTCAGTGCAAGACACATGTACATACTCACTCTGTATTACACTCAGTGCAAGACACATGTACATACTCTCTCTGTATTACACTCAGTGCAAGACACATGTACATACTCTCTCTGTATTACACTCAGTGCAAGACACAGGTACATACTCACTCTGTATTACACTCAATGCAAGACACATGTACATACTCTCTCTGTATTACACTCAGTGCAAGACACATGTACATACTCTCTCTGTATTACACTCAGTGCAAGACACATGTACATACTCACTCTGTATTACACTCAATGCAAGACACATGTACATACTCTCTCTGTGTTACACTCAGTGCAAGACACATGTACATACTCACTCTGTATTACACTCAGTGCAAGACACATGTACATACTCTCTCTGTGTTACACTCAGTGCTAGACACATGTACATACTCACTCTGTATTACACTCAGTGCAAGACACATGTACATACTCTCTCTGTATTACACTCAGTGCAAGACACATGTACATACTCACTCTGTATTACACTCAGTGCAAGACACATGTACATACTCTCTCTATTACACTCAGTGCAAGACACAGGTACATACTCACTCTGTATTACACTCAGTGCAAGACACATGTACATACTCTCTCTATTACACTCAGTGCAAGACACATGTACATACTCTCTCTATTACACTCAGTGCTAGACACAGGTACATACTCTCTCTGTATTACACTCAGTGCAAGACACATGTACATACTCTCTCTGTATTACACTCAGTGCTAGACACATGTACATACTCTCTCTGTATTACACTCAGTGCAAGACACATGTACATACTCTCTCTGTATTACACTCAGTGCAAGACACATGTACATACTCTCTCTGTATTACACTCAGTGCAAGACACAGGTACATACTCACTCTGTATTACACTCAGTGCAAGACACATGTACATACTCTCTCTGTATTACACTCAGTGCAAGACACATGTACATACTCTCTCTGTATTACACTCAGTGCAAGACACATGTACATACTCACTCTGTATTACACTCAATGCAAGACACATGTACATACTCTCTCTGTATTACACTCAGTGCAAGACACATGTACATACTCACTCTGTATTACACTCAATGCAAGACACATGTACATACTCTCTCTGTATTACACTCAGTGCAAGACACATGTACATACTCACTCTGTATTACACTCAGTGCAAGACACATGTACATACTCTCTCTGTGTTACACTCAGTGCTAGACACATGTACATACTCACTCTGTATTACACTCAGTGCAAGACACATGTACATACTCTCTCTGTATTACACTCAGTGCAAGACACATGTACATACTCACTCTGTATTACACTCAGTGCAAGACACATGTACATACTCTCTCTATTACACTCAGTGCAAGACACAGGTACATACTCACTCTGTATTACACTCAGTGCAAGACACATGTACATACTCTCTCTATTACACTCAGTGCAAGACACATGTACATACTCTCTCTATTACACTCAGTGCTAGACACAGGTACATACTCTCTCTGTATTACACTCAGTGCAAGACACATGTACATACTCTCTCTGTATTACACTCAGTGCTAGACACATGTACATACTCTCTCTGTATTACACTCAGTGCAAGACACATGTACATACTCTCTCTGTATTACACTCCGTGCAAGACACATGTACATACTCTCTCTGTATTACACTCCGTGCAAGACACATGTACATACTCTCTCTGTATTACACTCAGTGCTAGACACAGGTACACACTCTCTCTGTATTACACTCCATGCAAGACACATGTACATACTCACTCTGTATTACACTCAGTGCAAGACACATGTACATACTCTCTCTGTATTACACTCAGTGCAAGACACATGTACATACTCTCTTGCACAATAACAATGTAATAATTCAATATAACAATTATACTATAAACCCTCACGCAATCAAACAATCATCTGAACGTAAACAAAACAAAAAACGACAAATGGTAAAAAGAATGAAATCAAGTGATTTCTGGCTCAATAGAGGTGTGAATTGAGCTCAACTGCCAAACAGATTACGGCTGGACTGGATAGCAATCCAGGCTGTGAATGTAAATCCCCAGCACTTTCACTGTCACAACACTGCCCTGCTAGAACCCAATATATAAAGCTGACATTGCAGACAGTAAGTCTCTAGGAGAGATCTCCCAGGTGAAGAAACTCACAGTATGATGGAATGCTATATTTCACAGCTATGTTAGACTGATACTAAACATTCTATTACTTAAATTATTTTTATTATTGTTGGTATTTTTATAGCGCCAACTAATTCTGCAGCGCTTTACAATAGTAAATAGATCCATACCACATGCAAAGAGTTTGTATGAGATGAAGCCAAAGATTAAATGTCTATCACGGGTTTTAATATCTCAGGTTGCTAGTCAGTTTTAATTTTGGCGGCAAATTTCCATTTAGTTTTATAGATACTTTATTGTACATAATTCACTAATACAAGACACCCAACCAGTCCAGTTTTTTAATTGCTTACCTAAACAACAACACTGGAGGAGGGTCAGAATAAAAGACAGAGGTTAAAAGGCTCTATAACGGTCCCTTTGTTTATTGAATTGCACGCTATAAAACACTGGCAGTTAGTTCAAAGACATTATTCTATCTTTTGTTTCTGGAAATCTGTTTAGGAGAGTGCATCCTTTAGGATAGGTAAGAGATCATCACTGTTTCTTCTGACAATCTGTGTATTTCTTGTCTCACAGCATTGCCAATAAGCACGCGTTTAATGCTGAACACCTACTCTAGTCTTAATACAGAGATGCTCTGCTGCATCCTTTCTTTTCCCTGCTGCTCTTGGCAATAATATCTGATTATTACAGAATTACTGGTAGGTACAGTGCCGGTGTTAGACTATTTTCCACCCTAGACAAGACCAACTACTTGCATCCCCTCCGCACTCCCCAAAAAATAATTGTCACCAAGGGAGCACTGGGAAAAAATGGGAAGGAAGACTTGTTAAAGTGTTTGTTTTTTAAAAAAATTTTTTTATAATGACACTTTATTATTGCTGCACTGTGTAGGAATAATGAAAACAGTGTCATTATAAAAAAATAAGTTATTTACATGGCATCCACACTTTGGGATACACAAACACCAGTACACGTTAAAAACTCATAATAATTTTCAAGTACCCATTTAATTATTTACAACAAGGCATGACCTAATAATATGAGCAGACGCAGGCTCCTTCTCGCCTCCCTGCCAGTGGCTGCTTTTAGCTCCGCGTGTGGGGACTCACTCAGTGAGAGAAAATTATGTTGTGCATCTTGTGCATCATTGGCTGGCAGCCTGAATCCTGTTCATGGATTGGCTGAAGTTTGCGGGAGACGTCATCAAGCAGACAGCTGACAGGGGAATGCTTGTAAGATGCACTGTTGTTGTGCGCTTTAGGGATAATTGTGGGACAAAATATTAAAAATAACAGTTTGTAAAAATAATGAAAAAAAATTGAATTTTATTAATATTAATGACAGCGCAGGCAGTAATAAGATTCCCTGTCACACTCACCATGCTCAGTCAGCTTCATGTCATCTTCCGCCAACTTCAGCTAATCTTAACTCTGCCTGCACTGAGCACAACAATATGGTGCAGTTTATTGGGACGTTGGCCAAGTCGAGAGGCGCAATTGTCACGATTGGTAGGGAACCTAACACACAGACAGGACACAGCAGACAGAATTGCAATACCGGTCCTTAGAATGGCCGGGCTATGCAAAAGAATAGTCAAAGCAAGCCAAGGTCAAAGGGAAAAAGAGAGACAGAATACAAAGAGACAAGCCGAGGTCAGGGAGCAGAGAAAACAGAGTAAACGTAAGACAAGTCAAAGTTCGGTAACCAAATAATCAGACAGAGTATAACGCGCTATTGGGCTACAGGGTGTGTCTGATTGGCTAACCTCCATTTAGTGTTAACCAAAACACATGGGAGATGTTTCTTCCCCCA